TGAAAAAGTAACATAAACTTCTCCAAACTCCAGTCATTGACATTTGTAAAATGACGTTAGTGGGTCCTGTCATGAGGATGGTTTAAAACTTTAAAATACCTACAAGTATTCACTGGATAGCACCTGTCACCATCATAAGTTGGTTCTGTTGTTTTTCTATGGTCTGATAACTTTGAGGCCAAGTCTTATTTCTTTCATTGCTGACCAGTTTTCAAGAGCATGCATCAAGGAGTAAGCCTGTTTTTATCTATGGTTTGTGTTTTTTCATTGTCCTAGGAATGTGGCATAATGTATTGGTGCCATAGTTCCTGTCTTGGTAGATTATTTCAATAAAATAAGTTATTCCTGTCATTGTTACTGATTAGGAATTAAACAAAAGTTACAGAGTATTTCTCATATGTTTATTGAGGTTTAGTGAAAGAAGAAAGTGGTGATATGAAAACAAATATTCTATTTCTGATTTGGACTTCAAGCATAATAAAAGACAGAAGACTCAGAGCAAAATAGAATCTTAGCATTGAAAACATGAGGAGTCCTCTAGCAACAGTAATAGTAATAGCTGATGTTTACTGAGTACTCAGAACAGAACATGCCAGGCAGTGCTCCAGGCATGTTCCAGGTGATTCCTCCACAACAACCTTTTGAGGCAGATCCTGTTATCATCATGCCCATTTTAAAGATAAGAAAATGAGTCCAAAGAAGTTGGTGAACTTACCCAAGATTACATCTCTAGTAAATGGTGAGGTAGGAGTCAGACACAGAAAGTCAGACACAAGAGCCCACATTCAACCTCTTTGTCATGCTGCCTCCCCAGACTGAGCAGCCCTGTCATGGAGAACTGATGGTTTTCCAGACATTTTCTTCCATGTTGAATAGTCCTAGTTCTTTATCTTGAATGTAAATCAACTTCTAAGTTTCTTAAACTCTTTGATCTTAGATCCAACTTTCAGAGAAGATTATTTTTACCTTTTGCTTGATAGCCTTCTGAGGCTTACTCCATCATCTCTGGGTTTTCTCTCCTCCAGAATAAACAGGCCCTAAGTCCCTGCTGCAAATCACTTGTGTGATATGTGTATTCACAATCACAAGAAAGCTGCTGTTCATCCCTACTGTTCATTGTTAGGGTTAGCTCTTCAGCCAGGCGCTAATTTGCATTAGCTTTCTATCATGCCTAGTTATTCACAAGGACTGAATGGGGAAATTCAATATTTTACAGGAAGAAATGGTGAGCTCCAGAAACAATGAGTTTTGGGTAAATATACAATGTCTTCCCCCTTTATTCTGTTTCAAAGATCATTGACTATTTCAAGGAAAATAAGCAACATATTCTGGGATTTACTCATTATATATATAATAACAATTACATAAAGATAGAAAGGAGGTAAAAGGAAGAATACTTTTGTAAGATTAATACATTAGATTAAGTGGTATAGTATTAGTATACTAATACTATAGTAATACATTAGATATGAAGTGGTATAGTATTAACTCGTGATAGATTGTGACAAGTTAAGAATGCATTTTACAATATTTGGAGTAACTATTAATGGAAACAACTAGAGATATAGTTAAAAAACAGTAGAGTAGATTAAAAAATACTAACAGATACTTCATCAATCCAAACAAAGTCAGGAAAGCAGAAAGAAAGGAACAAAGGAAAGTGAAACAAATAGAAAACAAATAGGAAGCATGTGGAGCTAAAGTGAATTATAGAAAAAATTACACTAAGCATTAATGGATTAAACACTCAGACTAAAAGGCAGAGATTGTCAGACTAAGTGAAAGAGTAAAGTCCGCTTGTGTTTTGTTTATAAAAAATACATTTTCAATATAAAGATACAAGTTAAAAGTAATATGAATAGAAAAAAAGATGCATGTGGAAGGGACTGAACTACGTAAATTGAGAACCCCTGCCTTACTTAATGTAGGAAGTATAGGGTACCTATGTAGATATCTTAACAGGAGAAGGCAACATACAAAGAATGATTCCTTGGAACAAGGATGTGCCAAGCACTGAAGATGCTGAAACCATCTCTCTCGAGATGCAGAAAGCTTAGCAAACAATCAAAATAATGTCTTCCCTTTACCGCTTTATAGAGAATTGCCAATTAGGATTCACTTTTAATGGAACAAAAGTAATTTTCTGCCACCTCCTCCAGGGTAGCTCTTCAGCCTGACTCAGTGTCTTAGCTATGAGCAGTAGCAATCACATGAATTGGATACCAATTTCCTTTACCAGTTGGGGTTTGTCGATGAACTTAGCTGGCTGACACCTTTTATCCTGGTCCAGTATGTCCACTTTTCCTCCTGGCCCTAGGATAGTGGCTGTTGCCAAAGCAAACAATGACAGAATATAAGAAAGAGGAATGAGCTGCTGACATGTTTATTGCTCCAATTTTGCCAGTAGACTGAAGGGTGTAAAAATGAAAGAGATGTTATTGTGGCTTTGTTCATCATGCTTTGCTCTGAGGCTGTTATTTGGTAAAAAAAGTAAGGTTTCCAAGTGGAACGTTAATTTCTCCACATGCAGACGTATGTAACGTGTGCCTGACTCTTCACAGGCTGAGAAAACCACCAGGCTTCTGTGAAATAAAGTAAGCAAGGAATATTCCTTTTCTCCTTTTGATCTCCTGCTAAGACTCCTGCTTAACATCCTTCTGAAAGGCTTAGGTGAGGCAATTGTAGAGATGTAATTCCATTGGCAAAATTCGTGGTTTCAGTCCTGCATGTTAAATGAGTTTCAAATAAACTAGAGATTGTCTATAACTATGACACAGAGCTAGACTGTGCTGGGGAGAAACTTTTTGTGATGAGTGGTTATTTTTCTGGGAGTGACTTTAATTAACCTCTTTTCTTTAAGCCTGCTCATTCAAAGGCCCCTTGCCACTCAAAGTGAATGAAGGTAACAATTTTTATTGCTCAGCATTGTTAATTTGGTTGATATTGGGGCAATTCCAAAGAAACCATTAAAGCTATCAGAGAAAATGAAGGCGAACACATTTGAGAAGGATTTTGGAACATTTTAATTTTTGACAAAAAGGAAAGAAGAAAAGGATGAATTCATTATCTACAAATAGTGGAAAATATTATAAATGGCAGTAAATGAAGTAAATGGGAGTTTCCACTGTAATGTATGATTCTTTGAGCCAGCCACCCAGAAAGAGCACAGCTTGGTTTGCTGTGTGGGGAGTATGACCTGAAATGCAAGAGACTGTTCTTTGGCTCCAAGCAATATTTGTGAATAAGGCATTGCTTCTGCTGCTGTGGCTTTTCCGGTTTATTGCCCATCTGGTCTGTGAGTGTCTTTCAGCCTGTCGAATTGAACCCAAATGGAGCGCTCACCTCTTTGACTTAGATCTGACCTTAGGGTGTTGCTTTCCTGCCTGACTCAGGCTCCAGGGGAAAAGAAAATAAGAGAATAACCTCTCCTTTTGTGAGGAAATGGTTTTTCTTGCTTTTGGATGGCTCTCCTGCTCTGGCTGCCTTTCCAGGCGTGCAGAACAAAAGCCATGGCTGTGTTTCCTTGTCAGTGGGATGCAATCACTAAGCCTGTCTGCTCAGGCTCAGGCTATGCTCGTCTTCTCCAGACCCCACCTTCCTATCCTGGGAATTGAACTTGTGAGTTCACAACTTTCCTACACAGGACCAGAAGGCCACATTCATCACTGCCACCAACACCACTGTTTCTCTCTTCTGCTATACGGGATCCATGAAGGGCATCCCCCACCTTTGCTGGCTTCTTGATGCCACCTTCTCCAAATGAGTGAGTTACCCACTGGCCGGAAGTGGAAGCAAAGTCCACCTGGTGGGTTCTCTTCTGTCCTTCTGGTTAACAAAGCAGGTCATCTACAGCATTGTATCTTCTCTATCTTTCCTTAATGTACTTTAGCAATTTTTGAGAAATTGTCAAATATTTAGAGGTAATTATAATCTCTTAGTTCCTGATGCTTGCTATGAATTCCAGAAAAGGGTATAACTATGTTTGTATCTGTAAAAATTTTAAAAGAAACTTATCTCTAGGGTTTCATTTTTATTTTAAAATTCTCACCATCAACTATCTTGTACTGAGCTAAAAAGAGTCCTGAAATTTGGTCTGTGAATTTTTGCTGGTCTGTAGAAATTGTGGGGTACTGGTGCCAAATTTAATTCTACAAGAATTATTGAGAACTTACTTCCAAATTCTAAAAGAAACACAAGTCACAGGTTCAGATTTTAATGAGCATAAACTCTACCCAAAAATACAGAACAAACACATGTGGAACACTTGATATGTATTTCTTCCTATTTGATGTGTTTGCATGCATATATACATGCATATACATACATACATGTACACATGCACATGCATACATATGCATACCTAGGCATATATGCACACATGCACACACATGTGTACATACCCACATATACATATACACATACACATCTTCCTACATACATACATATATACCCACTCACAGATACTCTTACATACATATACCTATGTATGTAAAAGCATATACCTGTGGCTATGTATATGTATATGAATGTATATATAGGTGAGGGGGTATATGTGTATGAGAGTATATATGTGAGTATGTCTGTTAGTGGGTATTTGTACTCACAGACACACTCATATACATACTCTCATACACATATACCCACTTCACACACATACATATGCATTCATATACATATACATAAATATACAAATTCTTATATATGCACATGCACATACTCCATGAACATATACATACTCACACACAAATACACAATCCTATAGACATATACTTAAAGATACATATACATCTTAAAATTCTGATCAATTAATTAAATAGCTAGAGCCCTTTAGGGTCATATAAATTAATAGTGTGGATCCTTATTGTTTAAAATTATTTTGATGTGATGCTTCTAGTGTTTTGCCAGTAAGAATGGAACTAATTTTTGTTTGGAAATATATATTTTTACCGTATTAAGGAACTTGGTGTCTGTTTTTACTAAAAGATTTTTTTTGTTCTCAGAAATCTGAAAAATCTCAAAAGTATAATTAGTAATGATGCACGTTCATACACTCACCAATCAGAATTGAGGATTGATAAGATTTTGCTTTACCCCAATTTAAATAAAAGAAGCAAAGGATTACGGCGAATGATAAAGTCCTCCACTGGCAGTATTGTTCTTGCTACAAACCCAGAGGTAAATGTGAATGGAATGTGTATCTTTTTCACTCCATTTAAATGTATTTACATACATATGTATGTGTTGATGAATAATATATAATATTTGTTTTTGTGTTTTGAAAATAGACATAAGTGTTAAGGTTGGGTACAGTGGCTCATGCTTGTAATCCCAGGACTTTGGGAGGCCAAGGCGGGCGGTTCACCTGAGGTCAGGAGTTCAAGACCAGTCTGGCCAACATGTAGAAACTCTGTCTCTACTAAAATATAAAAAAAATTAGCTGGGCATGGTGGCACAGGCCTATGGTCCCAGCTATTTGGGAAGCTGAGGTAAGAGAATCACTTGAACCTGGGAGGCGGAGTTTGCAGTGAGCCGAGATTGTGCCACTGTTCTCCAGCCTGGGAAACAAAGTGAGACTCTGCCTCAACAACAACAGCAACAGCAACAGCAACAACAATGTTTAAGGTGTGTGCTGTCTGAAATGTGCTTTTTTGCTTTTTTTTCACTCAACATTTTGTGTGGAGTTCTAATTACATGACTGAATAGAGAGAGCTACATAATTTTAACAGTTGTATGAAATGAAAATACAAATGTTTATTCATTCTCCTATTAATATAATTTATTTTTTTCTATTTTTAAAGAGTTTCGCCATGGAAATTGTAGTATATGTCTGTTTATAAACTGTACAAGAATTTCTCTAGGACATACACACTGGAGTAGAATCCCTTGGCCATATAGGATGTAGGTTATCAGTGTTCCTAGATGCTACCAAGTATTTATTCAAAGTGATTTGACCATTTTAAACTCCCACCAGGAGTTTATGAAAGTTCTGTTTCCATATGTTCTTGCTGTTTTTAAAAATAGTTTCAGATGTTTTAATGTTATTCTATATAAGGTGTGAGATGGTACTGAACTGTTGTTCAATGTACAGGTCCTAAGGAGTGTTTTTGAACTGGTAATAACTGTTTCTATTCAATGTCTTTTCTGAATATTGAGTTTTTTATTCACATGCATTGTTAATTATATTGAATCCTCATTATTAAATCATCTTATGATTTCCAAAGGTTATTCCCATGTAGTAGTCATTTACTGTACTGACAAATTGCATTTATTAATATTTAATTTATGAGCTTTTCATGTTAACATATATAAGTAAGATTTTCTATAATTTTTTTTCTTTGGCTATTTTTTCTCAGGTTTTGGTGCAGTTTTATGTTGTCTTCATAAAAAATTAAGAAGTATCCTTTCTTTAGACTCCGGAACATGTTATATAACAAAGGAAAAATCTCTTCCTTGAAGGTTTGAAAAATTCACCCTTGAAACCAATTGACTTTGGTGCTTTTTGGAATTTTAGGTAGGGTAGGATGAGAGGGGCTTAGGGAGAATAGGGAAATAGCTCTTTATAAGTGTTCATAATCTCTTCTTTGGTTATTCATATTAGGTACTCTTAAATAATTTCAAGTTTCCTATTTTTTTTCTCCTAGAAAGATAATTTACCCAGGTTTCAAATTTATTCACTTATAGTGAAAGTCAGGTATATTGATCATCTAGAATATATAAAGGACTGTTAAAACTCAATAATAAAAGGACAACCCAATTAAAAATGGACAAAAATCTAAATAGACGTTTCTCCAAAGAAGGCGTACAAATGGTCCCTAAGTATATGGAAAGATGCTCAACATCATTAGTCATTAGGAAAATGCAAATCAAAACCACATGGAAATACCACTTCACATCTATTAGGATGCCTATAATAAAACAGACAGAAAATACTAACTGTTAGCTAAGATATGGAGAAGTAAAAACCCTCATGCGTTGCTGGTGGGAATGCAAAATGGTACAGCTGCTTTGGAAAACAGTCTGGCAGCTCCTCAGAAAGTTAAAAAATTGAGTTACCATGTGAGTCAGCAAGTCCACTCCCAGGTGTATAGAAGAGAGAAAGGAAAACACATGTTCACACAAAAACTTGTACATAAATGTTTATAGTGGGATTATTCATAATAGCTAAAAAAATGAAACAACCCAAATATCCACTACCAAATGAATGGATATACCAAATTTGGTATATCCATATGATAGAAAATTATTCAGCCATAAAAATGAATGAAATACTGATTCATGTTACAACATAAATGAATCCTGAAAGTCTTATGCTACATGAAAGAAGCCAGAAACAAAAGACCTCATATTATGTGACTTAAATCTCTAGAATAGGCAAATCCATAGAGACAAGGAGTAGATTAATGGTTGCCAGGGATTGAGGGAGGAGGAATTAGGGGTGACTGTTAATGTATAAAGCTTCTTTTGGGATTGATAAAAATATCCTGGGATTGGAAAATGGTGATGGTTGTATGACTCTACAAATATATACTATAAATAATTGAATTGTACACTTTAAAATGGTAACTTTCATGGGTATAAATTATATCTTAATAGAAAATATATTGGTAATATTCAGGGCATAAAATCTTACAGTTGGGATTAAATGGTCATCAATTTCAAACTCAAATTCCAGTGGTCAATAATCTTTGGCTGAGGTCTGTTCCCTAAACTGGAGTTCAAAACCATACAAGAGAGATGATTCAATTTTGACAAGTTTTTATGGCTAGAAAAATTTCCCCCTTTTTGATTTGTATCTTCCTTCCTTAAACAATCTCCCACCCTTATTCTTGTGTTTATGTAATAAGCAAAACAGAGTAAGTCTTTCATTCTCTTCTGTATCATTCCCTTCTATGTCTCTCTTTCCAAAAATGTTAATGTCAGGGTAGTGACATTGCCAGAAGTTTTATCGTTTCCTCTTTTGTTGGTGTTTGTTTAGTTTGTCTAAAACCACTGCAAATATCATCACACAATGTTAGCTCCCCATGTCCCCATTCTCCTCTTGCACCCCACCTTCGTTGCTTGAGGACCCTGTTCCATACTCTTTCACCAAGTTGTGCTTAGCTGGATCCATTCCTCAGTTTAAGGCACAAGGAGGCAGAAATAGAAGAGCCAATCTAACTCTCCATTAATTCAGAATCTCTGCCCTCCAAATATACCAATTTTCCTTAAGATCTTCCAATCTTGCGGTAGTAGCAAAGAGTAGAAGAGAAGTCCTTATCTCAAGAAGAGACTAGGATAAATAGAAACACAGGTAAGAGAGAGCTTAAAAAATATACACGTTTAATGCAGAAGTGAATGAATGTGGTTAGTGTCAGAGAAGAGAATAATGCCTATTTCTTCACTTAGTCCCAAATAATGCTCCTTAGATAGTCATCAGAACACTGAGCAGATGGATCATAATCTTACCTGGTGTTCCAGAAATTAGGATTCGATGCTTCCTTTCACTGATCTATGATTCATAGAATGGCATGATAGTTAAAAATGAAGACTTTGTAACTGATGGCCTGGGTTTGAATCCCAGAGCCATGTCTCATTTACGTCATCTGTGAAATGGAAATGATAATGATTACTACTTTATAGGGTTGCTGTGAAGACTGAAGCTAGTGTGTGTGCGCGCGCACACACACACACACACGCACACATCATATACATCTATACATACAGAGAGAGAGTGTGAGAAGAAAGGAATATTTAAAGTAGCTCTTGGTACATAGTATGTGCTGTATAAATTGATGTCAATGGCTATTCCCACTGCTATTATTGTTCTGGGATGGTGTTTAGGCCGCCAGACTTTCTGGAATGAGCCTGACTTTTTTCAGCCTATTCTTCAGTTGTACTTGTTAACTGGTCATTGCTCTGGTTTAATTGGCACTCAGGGAGGCTGTCCACTCCCTGCTTAGTCTGTCCATGGTTCTTGCTGACCTAGATTTGTTGTCTCTGTAATTCCTCTTCCAGCTTTTACAGCAAAGAGGCCACGTTGCAAAGCTGAGTAGGGTGTGGTTCCAGGAAGCTAAAAACCCCCCAAATCTCCTTAATTCATAGGAAAGGCCCTGACTGCTTTGGTTATCTCCAGACCCCCCTGTATAGAAGCGCTTCTGGAGCCTCAGTTTTCATGTCACTGCTCCGTGGCTTTGTAGGTGGGACTTTGACTTTCTTCCTCAAGGTCAGCTGTTCTAGGGAGCACACTGAAATGTCTCTTTTCCGCTTAACTGTGCTATACATGCTTTGTCGTCTCAGCCATGCCAGAGGTGAGTCACCGCTTCACTTGTTTGCTCATTCATTTGTTTAGAAAGTCTTTATTGAGATCTTACCACATGCTGCATTTGGCGAAGTGTAGACAGATGGAATCATAAGCTAGGCAGATACTGCTCTTGCCCTTATGGAGTGCATAAGCTACATGCTACTGAAGGTGGTACTGACTTTGAAGCATCAAGAATAACTCTCAGATTATTTTCCAATGTAATCTGATGAACGAAGGCATTTAAGGAATTCTAGAGGAGGAAGAGGTTGGGGGTGAGATGGGAGACCACAGATAATGTAATTTTGCATGTGATAATTTTGCATGTGTTAGTCTGAGGTACCTGTGAACACCCTAAGGGTGGATGTGGCTATACGGTTCCAGAGCAGTGTGGTCCAGTGGAATATGACATGAGCCATGTATGGAGTTCTAAGTGTTCTAGTAGCCACATTGAGACAAATAAAAAGGAACAGGTGAAACTAATGTTAATACTATTTTAATTTAACCCAATATATCCAAAATATTATTATCTCAGCATTTAATCAATATAAAATTATTAATGAAAATGACATTTTGATACTAAATCATCTAAATCAACTTTATATTTTACATTTACAGAGCCTCTCAATTTGGATGCTAAGTTTTCACTCACACGAAAAATTGATAGTTGTAAAAGCAGATTTGGATTGTTTGTAACACAAAGGATAAATGCTTGAAGGAATAGATACCCCATTTTACATGATGTGATTATTTCACATTGCATGCCTTATCAAAACATCTGATGTACCCCATACATTTTTATACCTACTGCATACCCACAAAACTCAAAACGAAAAACTTTTTAAAAGTAGATTTACATACCTAAATTGTTCCAAACATTATTAAAGGTGTTCCAATAACTAAATTGAGTATAATTTTTAAAAAATCAAAATAAATGAAAATGAAGCACAATTTAAAAAATGCAGTTGCTCAGTCATGCTAGCTGCATTTCTAGTGCTCAATAGCCGCATGTGGCTAGTGGCTGCTACACACAACAGCTCTTAAGAGGGGATCTGGGCTAAAGATTCTCCAGACTACAAACAAGATCTGATACCAAGAGAGTGAATGAAATCACCCTGGAAGATTATGCAGAAGAAGAAATGCTGGATGATCTCCATGGGCCTGCCCTTCTACATGTTATTTCTGAGCCTTCAGCCACTGCTTAAAATTGATCATTAGCTTAGATTTGGGTATATGATTGATGATGAAGATTCTAGACCCAGTTTGAAAATGGGGCCACAGGGATGGACACTGGGATGGACATTGGGATGTGGATGTCTGCCCTTTAACGTCTCCCTGAGTGTGAGAGTATCTAGATACTGCTTGGGTGTTTGCTGAACCCTCTTGATCTGTTGGAGATCTGGGTTAATTTGGGGCAAATCCCATCTCATGGCCTCCACAAAGGCTAAGCTTGCCTGAGGCTCCTTTACCTCCACATCTCCTCTGGCCTACAGGGTACGTGTGATCTCTGGATCATTTAAAGTCTGCTGGTCTGGAAACCCATACACTTCACTGCTTTCTGTGAAACCTCCCCTCACTCCAGGCATTGTTGAATTTAGCCACCTTATAGAAGAATGGGAGTAAGCAACACAACGACAGCTCTTCAAGACGCCTCTATCTTCCCTCTGCCTTCTAACCTCCCTCTTCTACTTCTGTTTGCATTGCTCTTTTTCTCCCCCTTCAGTGACAAATATATTGCCTGGTCTTCCCATAATGGAAGGTTAGGCTTGTTCTTAGTGCCTTTCCATTAATCCTAAATGTCTTATCCGACCTTTTCACCCAAAAAAATACAAAAGCCTCCTTAAGAAAAATTTAGGTCAATAAAATTATCCCCTCTCAGGGCAACTGCTTTCTGAACTGTGTCTTTTATTCTTCATCTCCTTCTATGATACGGTTCACGTTCCCCACAGTGCCTGCTCAACAGAACGCGGTTAGTTTATATTTGCTTAATGACTGCCCCTGCTTACTTCCCATAAACTCTGCCTTGCAGAGGAGAGTTGAACTAATTGCACCTTTATCCATTTCATGCAGGCCACAGACAAAACCACAGTTCATTTGGTGGCTGAAGCTTACTGAAAGCTTCCTTTCCTCTTGATGCAGCCAGCTTTTTGGATTACATGGCAAGGGTGGCCTGAGCAAAGCAACGGGAAAGAGCTGTTGGTGGAACAGTGAGTGCTTGTGACTGTGGGACTAGAGTCTTGCCTCCAGAATTTAGCATGCTGCTGCCCAGGAAATTAAGCCTTCAAGTCTAAAGACTTGCAATGAGTATGATTGAGAAGGGAGTATTGGGTGGTTCCAAGCATAATTGAGAAACAAATTAATTTGGGTACTTTAGACGCCTACTGATGGCTGAGAAAGAAAGTAAGAACATTTGTAGCCTTAAAGGGTAAAAGTCAAAGAAATGCCAGTGGCCTTTGCTATACACCATACAGGTGGAGCAGAGTGGCAGCTTGAGTTGCCAAGGGAGTCATTCATTCATTCATTCATTCATTCATTCATCTACCCATCCATTCATTCATTCACTTATATACCAGGCACATCTCATGGGCTAGCATTTACTGAATAATTAACATGTATCAGACAGTATTCCAAGCACTTTTCTTGCATGAACTCATTTAATCCTCCAAATGACCCAATTAATCTGAAGGATGGGAGTCAGCAACACAACGACTTAAAATTGCTCAAGCTTATATAGCTATTAAATAGTGAAGTCAGAAATTGAACTTGGAAGTCTCACTTCAGAATATTTTGACTTTACCACTAAATTGGCAAATAAGATTGAAGTCTTGGTCTCGTGGACTTTACATTGTAGTAGGAGAGACAACCGATAAACATGCAAGTGAACGTTAAATAAAAAAAATATGATCTCAGACAGTGAAAAAGGATATTATCAGATAATAATATTGACTAACTGGAAGGGCAGTGTGTCAGAGTAGCTACTTTAGCTAGATGGTCAAGCATGGCCACTCAGAAAAGACATTTAAATCAAGATGAAAATGATAATGAGGAGCTAGACACATGCAGATCTAGAAGGAACATGTTTCAGGCAGAAGGAATAGCTAAAACAAGTTCTTAAGGTAGATCTAGTAGAATTGTTAATGCCTTGCCTACATCCCAAGGGCCAAGGTACCCATCCCCTGACTTCCCTGAGTGTTGGCTGCTATCTGCTTACAACTGCAATTGTGCTTTGCTGCAAGAGAATGCCTGAGATGATGTCCCCTCTCAGGGGTGGATCACAGCCAATGGCTGAGTGGAACAAGATGCCAGTCTGCTGCCTTAAGCATGGCCATGGGATCATCAGGCTGAATCTGGTCTCTGGCAGAGACTGTATCTTTGATTGGTGGCTTTCCTTTCTCTGTTCTGTCTCCCAGACTATTTTGTAGGTTTGTCCTGAGAGTCCTCCTGCATACACAAGAATCCCCATCACAGGCTCTGCACTGGAAAACTCCATCTGGGACAAAGGGAAAGAGCAATGGAAGGACAGCAAGGGGAACAGCGTGGCTAAAGCAAAGTAAAGCACAGTAAGTGAGGGAGAGAGTATTAGGGAATCGCGGTAAAGATGAGAGAAGGAGACAGCTTAAGGAAAATTACGTGGGCTGTGTAGAAAGCTTGGATTCCACTCAAAGATAGTGGGAAATCTTTGGAAGGTAATTTGGGTGTGAAAATACTCTCACCAGCTGCAGTGTGGAGAGTGGGATGGGGGTAAGGTGAGGCAGAGAGCCCAGTTGGCCATCAGCTGTAACATTCCAGGCAAGAAATGATAGCATCTTGAATTAAAAAGGTAGTGGCAAAGGAGGTGAGCTAGGAGCAGAACGTGGGAGGTATTCTGGAGGTAGAGCCAAGGCTTCCTGATAAACTGGATATGACAGAGTTAAGGAGTCTAGGTTTAAAAGTCAGGCAAATGGCTAGGTTTGGTGGGAGCAGTACTTACTTCACCTTTTTTTTCCTATTAAGAACTTACAACAAATCTTTTGTAGAGTTCGGATCTCCCTATGTTGCCCAGGCTGACCTCAAACTCCTGGGCTCAAGAACTTCTTCTGCCTCAGCACCCCAAAGTGCCAGGATTACAAGTGTGTCACTACTTACTTGATCTTAAGCCCTGGAAGTTTTTCACATGGGTTGGGTACTCTTAATTCCAACTTTGTCATTGGTGGATGAACGTGAAAACGGATACAGTTTTCAATTAACGTGATACAAAATGGCAGTTAAGGGAAAGTAATGGGTATCATTCTATTGTCTTCCTCCCTACTCAGCTTGCCCTATAATTTTTTATACTTTTGTGTATTTGCTCCTTTTTGCTCCTTACATTTCTTTAACAGTGGTGGTGTGGTTTCAATTAGATACTCCATTTAAGCTGGGAGAAGGCAATGCCATAGCTCCCTGCTTTATTTTGTGCAGGCCCCCTTGTGCACGGCTTACTTCCACAGTAATGGCCTTGATTAAGCAAAAGCCAAGGAGTCACGTAGCACCAGGGAAGGCAGAACTGTTACCCTGCTGCTCTCAATCCCAAGCGGATGTGAGTGGGAAAGCAAGCGTGGAGTGACTGTGGGAGAATGGTTACCCTCCCCTTCTGAGAATCTCCCAGAATATGGAATAGATTAGGATACTCGGAAGCTGTGAATGCTGCAGGTCATGCCGAGAGGGGTGGTAAGTGTCCCAAAGGCACAGGCCTCCCTGATTTCAGGGTGAGGTCTGAAATTAGCAGGAGGCCCTGGATGGGGAGCCCAGGCTGTGGGTGGAGGAAGGGAGCTTTCCTTCATTCTCCTTTGTTCAAAATAAGGACTTTTTTGTTGTTGTTGTTAGTGGGAGTGTGGGACATGAGCACAGCCAAAAATTTATTAACTCTTCTTAACTTTCCTAACTCAGGGAGGGAAATGTTAGCACCAGTGTCTTCCAAGAGAGCATCATTCACAGAGCTCCTTGGGATTTGGGAATGCCATGATTAGGAAAGCAGATGCAGGCACTCCCACTAAGAAAAGCGTCTCAATCAGAGAGAGATGCTTAACAGAACCATGGATAATTGGAGCGACAGAACCCACATAGGCCTTTTAATTGATGGAAGTAAAGCATTTACAGTGTGAACAATAAGTGGAAAAGAGGTCACAGCTTTTCTTGATCCACTGTGCCCAAGTCAGACGTCCCATCACTTCCTGCTTAATGCAACGCCATTGTGCCTTGACTTGCAGGCAAAGTAAGTAGTTAATTTTCTATCTCTAGGTGTGAAAGCAATGCTGGTTTAATTTTGGGTGATGTCTCTATCTGTTATCAATGTCTTGAACAGTGTAATTTTTAAGAAGATCAAGAGATAAACATACAGTGCTGAGCACAGAAGTGCAGCTTGGCTGCTTTGGATCAGAATCTGGCTTTGTTCCTTGTCTCACACTGTTTCTCCAGCCAGGTAAAATCACCTGTTGTTTCTACCTGCAAGCCTGCTGAGCCTCAGTCTGACACTAGTGCCTTTCCACAGCAAGAATTATATAAGAAACTCCCTGAAAGTTGTCCAAGATGGATCCCTCTGTCACATTCATTCTGCTTTAGTTAACTAGAGGTTAAGGAACCGGTAGGCCACACTTAGAGGGAGGTAAGGCAGGTGACTGAGGGTGTTTAGTGAGTGTTGGAGATGTGGTCTGTGATTTGGTAGTGAGGTCAGAAGTAAGAATATACCTTTGGGAATCATGCAGTGAGGATGGGAGCCAATGAGAACCTTCATGGAATAAAGATGTTCTCTGCTCACTATACTGAGCCAAGAGAACAAGCCAAGAGAGGTATTTTTGGAAATAACTTCCATTAAGTGATGGACAAGAATAGGGAAAAGACACTTTATATGAGCAAGTGGGAAAAGTTGGAGGGAAACTAACATCACAGAAACCAGGAAGAGAGGTCTCATCATGAGAAGCAAGAATGCTTCTGGGATTACAAATAGGATGGGTGTCAAACCCGGGCCTTTGATTTGGCTAACCCTAGAAAAGACTATTTCATTTTGGGCTGATTTTTGTGTATGGTATAATACAAGAGTTCAATTTCATTCTTCTGCATGTGGATATCTAGTTTTTCCAGCATTCTTTAGTGAAGAGGTTGTCCTTTTCCTATCGTGTGTTTTTGGCACCTTTGTTGAAAATCAATTGACTATAAAAGTGGAGGTTCATTTCTGGGCTTTCTATTCTGTTTCACTGGTCAATGTGATTTAGATTTCTACACTAAAAAGTATAAAACACTGATGAAAGAAATTGAAGAAGACACAAATAAGTAGAAACATATTCCGTGTCCACGGATTGGAAGAATTGATATTGTTAAAATGTCCATACTACCTAAAGTGATCTACAGATTTCAATGCAATCCCTATCAAAACCTGATGTCATTTTTCACAGAATTGGAAAAAAATCCTAAAATTCATATGGGACCACACAAAACCCCAAACAGCTGAGGCAATCTTGAGGAAAAAGAAAAAACCTGGAGGCATCACACTACTTGGTTTCAAACTGTATTTCAAGGCTATCGAGAAATGGGTCTCACATTTATTTGATGCCTTCTAAATTTAGTGCTGGATGAGACAGTATTTTGTTTTACTGAAGGCATAGAGAGAGAAAGGGAAGTGGACACTATGGACTGGTAGAAAAAGGAAGGCAGGAGAGTGAAGAGTGACTGAGGAGGGGATGTCATTGGTGTTTGTGTGTTTATTTTTGAATGAGAAGATTTGAGCCCGTGTTGAGGAACTGGACAAGTAGCCAGTGGAAGGAGAAAACAGAGACCCTTATCATCAAAGGGAAGCCCTTGCATGGTAGGAGGCAGGTGAAGGGGTTAACCTGCCCATGTGTCAGGGAATGTTTCTTCCAAGATGGGCGGGAAGGAAGAAAGTTTGGGTGATGGTCCAAAGAAAACTTAAGGAGTTTGGGAGGAAACTTGTGGGAGTTCTCATCAGATGTTCTCAATTTTCCCAAGGAAGTAGGTGGAGAGGTCATCTTTGAGAGTGAGGAGGCAGGGGAGGAAACAGAGCTGGAGGAGAAGGCTGGCTGCTGTGGTGAATTCCAAGACAAGGAGTAAGTATACTGTGGATGATAAAAAGAAAGGGTTACAGCCAGGCGCGGAGCCTGGCTACCAAGGTCCACCTTGTGTGTTTACTCTGCCCCAGCCCCCTTTGACTCTGATGCTGACAAGGCCAGAAGAGCCTTTCAATGCACAGAGATTTATTGAAAAGAGGAGATAGTTGAAAGATAAAACTCTGAATTGCTTTTAAATAGCCAGAGAAGACTTTACTGAGGGGGAGAGAGTTTAGAGTTCTGAGAACACAGAAAATTTGAGTATTACTCAGGGATAAGATAGATCTCTCTGGAAACACATACCTTAGTTATTTGGAGGAGTTGAGAGAAGCAATTATTATTCAATGGATTACCCAGATTCCTCTTTTTATTTCATTGTGCCACTGCCATTATTTGGTTTGTGACCCAACCTGGCTGTGTTACCAGAACTTACCTCTGATAAATGATGGATTGGGGATTTTTTAAGTTATGTGTGTTTTTCAACTATTTGGCATTATGACTGATTGATATTTTCATAGCAGTAAGTTTATGTTTAATGTCATCTTCAAGCCAGGGATGAAAATTTTATTTGAAGTCTTACTTTTCAATACATTCTTACTCATCATCTTGACCTTCAACTTGTAGATATTTCCTTATTTCTCCAGTTTTGGGGAAGACTGTCCCAGTCTAGAAATCCAACTGACCTATCTTCTTCCAATTACACATTGAAAACAATGGTTTCCATAGATGTTTGAATGTGGGTCTATCACTCTCAGTTTATCAACTTCAATCTACTGAAGAGAAGGCTCAAAGTAGAGTATATAAAAATAACCAGTGATGTTTAGTTTGCCGAAAACTGAGTTGAAACAATTAGTATCAGCTACATAATTTATTTGCAGGACCCAGTGCAAAATAAAAATGTGGGCCTTTGTTAAAAAATTATTACAATTTCAAGACAGGGACAGCAGAGCATTAAACCAAGCATGGGACCCCTTTGAGCATGGGGCTCTGTGTGGCAGTTTGAGTCTCGTACCCACAAAGTCAGTCCTGGAAGCAATCCAAGGGCAGTAACCCAAGTTGCAGAAGCCTCACCAGCTTTCGTCATTCCTTCCCTTTCACTACTTGGTCTAAGTCCTGAGCCAGGTTCTTCTGTAACTTCCCTTGTGGAAAAGCTGAGTCAGCCCAACATAACACTGTTGTGATCTGTTGCCCTGTGACTGCCCTGGGACCCTGGGCAGGGAGTTGGGAGTGGGGTGATGTGGCGGATAGAGCTTGGGCAGGGGTCAACCTGGGAGCCCCGTTCCAGGAAGGGATCACATGTCAGCTTCTGAAGCATTTTTAATTCTTGCCTAGAAGTGACTGCTTTCAGAACTGCCTCTGAAGTATAATCTTCTTGGCTCCTTGTTTTGTTTGTTTGTTTTTGGACACAATCTCGCTCTATAGCCCAGGCTGGAGTGCAGTGGCGTGATCTCAGCTTGCCTCCTGGGTTGAAGCAATTCTTCTGCCTCATCGTCCCAAGTAGCTGGGACTACAGGTGCTTGCCACCACATCCAGCTAATTTTTGTATTTTTAGTAGATGGGTTCTCACCATATTGGCCAGTCTGGTCTCAAACTCCCAACCTCAGGTGATCTACCTACCTTGGCCTCCCAACGTGCTGGGATTACAGGTATGAGTCCAGCCTAATCTTCTTGGCCTCCCAGAGTGCTGGGATTACAGGCCTGCACCCGGCCTAATCTTCTTGGTTCTTTGAAAATAAAAATCTATCAGCCAAAACAGTTTGTTCAAGTGAGGGACATCTTACCGGGAGAAAAGAGCTCACTTTGCCACTGGGCGCAATGTTCCAACTAGGAGCAAATATGTGTCCAATTTGTGATCCTGTTTTCAGTGGAAACCCCTCTCCGTTCTCTGCTTTCTGATGGAGCGTATCCTAAACCCTGACTATAAAGTTTTGACTTAAGTGATTAACAACTTGATAAATCCCAACTAACTTAAAAGGTCTTGGAGTTGGGGAAGAATTCTCCATCCATGAAGGAGTTTTTGTAGTTGTCCTGGGAAACCTATCAGGGTGCCTCATCCGAGTGACAGTGAGGTGGCAGGGATTTAAGATTTAAGCAAGACCATGAATTAGAACCCTTGAGACCTGCTAAACATGAGGTGGAAACAACTGTGCAAGTTCAGAATAAGAAGTAGGGTGGAAGTGTACGAGAGGGAGGAGAATTTGTTTGGCAGGCGGCACAGCACAATCACTGGAGGGCATAGCAGAGAGGGGCTGGAAGGGTCAGGTCATCAACCTTGGAGTGCAGTGGAAAGTTTGAGGGCAGGGCATAGAGGAGGACGGAGCCAGGGCCACCAGGCAAAAGCATTGGTTACCAAGACAACATGTGTAACATTATCTCCTATATCCTCTAAGGTACTTGGGGGCCAGTGGCCTAGCAGAGCAGACCTGGGGCTGTGGTTGCTGAGACAATTGGTTGAAATGGTCATAGTTAAGGGGAAGAGCAAGAGGATGTTCTGTAGAAAGAGTATAAAAAGATAATAATTTAGTCCTCTTGTTCCGAAGAGGAAATCTATGCATTTCCAATTTTCAGTCTGATAAATAAGCTCTTCATGGGCAAAGACAATTTACACTATTCTTGTGCTATTTTTTTTTTTTTTACTGTAGAATATATATTTTATTTTTATTTATTTATTTTTATTATACTTTAAGTTCTGGGATACATGTGCAGGATGTGCAGGTTTGTTATGTAGGTATACATGTGCCATGGTGGTTTGCTGCACCCATCAACCTGTCAGTATTTTGTGGAAAAATAAGGACGTCTTTTTTTTCCCCACCAAAAAGACAGAATCTTGCTCTGTCACCAGACTGGAGTGCAGTGGCACAAATCTCGGCTCACTGCAACCTCCACCTACCGGATTCAAGCGATTCTTCTGCCTAAGCCTCCCGAATAGCTGGGACTACAGGTGCGCCACCACACCTGGCTAATTTTTGTATTTTTAGTAGAGATGGCATGTCACCATGTTGGCCAGGCTGGTCTTGGACTCCTGACCTCATGATCTGCCTGCCTCAGCCTCCCAAAGGGATGCTTTTACACTGTTGGTGGGAGTGTAAATTAGTTCAACCATTGTGGAAGACAGTGTGGCGATTCCTCAAGGATCCAGAACTAGAAATACCATTTGACCTAGCATTCCCATTACTGGGTATATACCCAAAGGATTATAAATCATTCTACTATAAAGACACATGCGCATATATGTTTATTGCAGCACTATTGACAATAGCAAAAACTTGGAACCAACCCAAATGCTCATCAATGATAGACTGGATAAAGAAAATGTGCTATATATATGCCATGGAATACTATGCAGCCATAAAAAAGAATGAGTTCATGTCCTTTGCAGGGACATGGATGAAACTGGAAACCATCATTCTCAGCAAACTAACACAGGAACAGAAAACCAAACACCGTATATTCCCACTCATAAGTGGAAGTTGAGCAATGAGAACATATGGGCACAGGGAGGGGAACAATCACACTGGGCCTGTGGGGGGCTGGGGGACAAGGAGTCTTATGCTATTCTATAGCATAGGACACCATTTTCATGCCCTCCTTCTTTCCTCCCTTGTGTTTATTATTGAGGGATAATTTAGCTACAGCAAAATGCATACATTTTGAGGCTATGACTTGATGCATTTCTGTGTATGATCTACTTGTCCAACCACCACCTGGATCAAGATATTGAACATTTCTATTCCTCTAGAAAGTTCACTAGAATAACAGTTCTAGTCAATACCTACCCCTCCCACTACAGAGGAAACCACTGTTCTCACCTCTATTCCTATGGAGTAGTTTTGCCTTTCTTTGAACTTCACATCAATGGAATCATAGAGTGAGTCCTCTTTTGTATCTTGTTTATTATGTCTGGAGAGTCATCCGTGTTGTTGTGGGTAGCAATTTGTTTATTCTTTTGCATTGCTGAGTATTATTCCCTTGTATGACTTGTATCCCATGACTTGTTTATTTATTTTCCTGCTGATGGATATTTGTGTTGCTCTCATCCTGGGGGTATTATGAATTAAGCCACTGTGAGCTTTCTTGCATAAATCTTTTATTGTGGACATATCCTCTTTTTTCTCTTTACTCTCTTCCTATTTCACTGACTTTCCTTTCTTGTTGTTCTCTGTTGGTTTCTCCTGACCTCCTCAACCTTTAAAAGTTGAGCTGTCCCACCCTCAGTTCAGATCTTGACCCTCTTCACTCTCACTCATGTTTTGGATGATCTCATTCAGTCTCATGGCTTTAAATATCTTATGTTGCCTAAATTTATATCTCCATCTCAGATCTCTCATTTAAACTCCATATTTATACATTTAAATGTCTTTTCAATACCCCTACTTAGGCATGTAATGGGTATCTCAAACTTCATGAGACAGAAAGTGACCTTCTGATTAAAACTTTATAATCTGTTCCACCCCTTGTCTTGTCCATCTCAGGTGTGGCAACTCCATCCTTCTAGGTGCTCAAGCTGAAAAAACCTGGAGCAATCATTGACTCCTCTCTGTCTCTCCCACCTAACATTCCATTCACCACAAAATCCCATGGAAACTATCTTCAAAATGCATCTCGAATCCAACCATGTCTCACCATGTCCATCGCCATCTCTCAAGCCTGGTATTTCTGTTTCAGCCTTTGTCCCTCTATACTCTTTCACAAAGAAGCCAGAATGATTCCTTTTAAAACAAAAGCCAGACCATGTCACTTATCTACTCAGAATCCTCCAAGGGCATCTCATCTTACTTAGAGTCAAAGTCAAATCCCTTCCTATAGCACATAAGGTCCAACATGACCAGGCCTCCTTCATCTCTCCTCTATGCCATCTCTTCCTAGTCTTGCTGTAGCCAAATTGGTCTCCTTGCTGTTTGCGAAGAAGTCAAACATATTTCTACCTCGGGAAATTTGTTCATTCTGTTTGCTCTTTCTGAACTGGTGTTTCTCCAGATACGTGCATAGCCTGCTCTTTTACCTTCTTCAGATGTCTGTCAAATATCATTTTATTATGAAGGATTCCTTTGAAACAAGATCATGTCCTTTGCAGGGACATGGATGGAGTTGGAAGTCATTAGTCTCAGTAAACTAACGCAGGAACAGAAAATCAAACACTGCATTTTCTCACTTATAAGTGGGAGCTGAACAATGAGAACACATGGACACAGGGAGGGGAACAACATACGCTGGGGCCTGTTGAGAGGTGGGGTGGGGGGAGGGAGAGCATTAGGAAAAACAGCGAGTGCATGCTGGGCTTAATACCTAAGTGATGGATTGATAAGTGCAACAAACCACCATGGCACATGTTTACCCATATAACAAACCTGCACATCCTGCAACAGAACTTAAAGAAAAAACTAAAATTAAAAAAAGAATTCCTTTGAGCACTTTGTTTAAAGCGTTCTTTTTCATACTATGCCATATGGAAGGATGTAACATATATTGACTTGTTTAGTTGTCAATGCCCTGTGTATTACAGATAATTTCTTAGAAAGAAATCTCTGAATATAAAAACAAGCCACTTCAAGAAATAGGCCTTTCTCCCAAATTAGGTTATAATCTGAAGGAGATTACATTTATTTTTATCCTCCACTATGCTCAGCCCAGTGATGTTAATGCTTCTTGATAAGTATTTGTGGGTTCGTTGAATCATAGAAAAAGCGAATAGCTTAAACAAAACAACTGTAGAATAGTGGCGAAATTACTGAAGGGACTGTGGTTTTTGCCACTTATGCATGATATAATCTTGAGCAAGTAGGTTGCTGATCCTTTCTAAGTCTCAGTTTCCTCATCTGTAAAGTGAAAGTTGTAATTCTTTTATATTTGCCTCAAGGGTAAATTCAGCATGAATGAAACATGTAAAGCAGATTATCTGATAAATGGGGTTACAGGAATCATTTTGGATAGCATTATTTTAAATGTTATATAAAAGCATATATAAACTATAAAGTAGAGCACAAAATATGACATTAAAGTATGAAGGTATTGAATAATTGTGTCCTGGATGTCTCTATCGGTGGATGTCGCTATGAAACATGAGTTTCTCTTCAGTCATTCTGAAGATGGATGTGTGAGCATAATGTGTTATTACATGAAGTCTCTACTTTTCTAGAACCTTCTGTTACAGGCCTCTGGTCTTTGCAAAGTGATCATTAACTTCCAGGTGGCCTCTCATTCTGACTTCGGCAATCGGCCAATTCCTTGATTCTATCTCACAATGTAACTTCCAAAGTAAATGTCTATTAAGCCTTTGTGTAAACATTCCAGACCTGTAACAAAATCAACTGAACATAAATCATACCCAAAGAAAGGGGTGTAGGAGGATGTGTAAGTTTGAAAAATGAAATAATACAGTACAGTTTCATTGTGGATCTCTGGCCTCAGTTACCTCAACTAAGACTTTCTCTGTTCTACATTACAGCCCCTCATCAGAGGTAGTGGTTTTTGGTTACTTCAGTGGACTCTGCCCAAATATAGAGAAAATAAGCCCTCCACATGAAAAGATGTAAAGATGCTTACTTGCAAATGGGCTTAACCAACATTCTAAATAAAAGCCAGACTCTACGATCTCCTTGTCACTTACTGTATCTTGTCCATATTAAGAAGATTTGGCTAGAAGTCAAAGAAAGCAGTTATAATAGGTGTGGTTGTTTTGCTTTGGTATTCCTTCCTTCTTTATTTAGAAATGGATGGTGGATACAAGTTCTTGCCTTTATGAATTGATTTTGGAATTTTTTTTGCCTTTGGATAGAAAGATGATAAGGTAAAACGAAAGCTGTCTCTGGAGGAATGGGAAAGAGCAGAGAGAAGGTATTTAATAAAAGTTAAGGACTTTTGTTTGGTTTTTGCCTTCAAGGGCTCAGGTGCGCATTCTGTCTTTGAAGTGTAAACTTGTCAACTTGAAGATAGTTGTGCAAACTTTAGTTTTTCCAAAACTACAACTCTGGAAGCATATGTCTAGAGTGACTCCTGTACAGAGGGGTCAACATATTTGAAGGTAGGCATTTTCAAATAGGTTTTTACATTTTTAGAGTTTAACATTTAAGCTCAGAGAACATTCTTTTCTGTATACCTAGCAGGGTCTAAAGCCATGTCATGTCCTTTTTTAAACTTTTTATTTTATGAATGAAAATATATTGTCAGATTTACTCTTTCTCTCTGTTGGAAATTAATGTAGAAGAAAAGATCTCAAGGGATTTTGAGGTATATAGAGATGTCATAAAGTCTGATAAGCTTGGAATGAGTTACCAGGAAAGATGGTACAGTATCCTTTTCCAGAAATTAATTTAGGATAGGTCCTCCCTGGGTGGGTTCCTTTGGCTTTGGTTCTGTCTGAATGCACAAGATGGTCAAGGAACTTTAAGACTTGCATTGCACTCCTGTATTCACTGCTGTCATTGTCCTGCTTGTATTCCTTTGGCCATACCAGGAGGTCACTTGCTGATAGACCAAGTATGTACTGATGGCTTTCTGCGTCCTTAAGCCTGAATGCATATGATGCCCTGAGGATGCTTCACCTATGCATGGAGCAGTCTGGAAGACACTGTAGCAAAGTTCCAGTCCCAGAGATACCTCTCAACAATGGGGGATAGAGTTGGTGATACATGCCCCAGCTCCCTTCAGCCTCATAGGGAAAGTTCTGTGGTACGTGGTATGTTCTGCACAGTCACTTCAAGGGGTGCCAGATAAGATTGTGCCCAGTTTCCTGCAGAAGTAAACTGCTCATAAACACAGCTTAATGGCCTCCTTTCCTTCCCTACCTCTACTGGGGTTTCAGCTCCCATATAAGTTACTTGTACCCAAATGCTGCTCTCAGAGTCTGCTTTTGAGGGAGCCCAAGCTAAGGCAATATCTGACCTCCTCACTGAAGGAATTGCTTAGGCCAGGCATGGAATCTGCTAACCTTTTATTTTCTTGGCTCTTAACTAGAATAATTATTTAGCACTTGCTGTGTTCCAGGCATAGTTCCAAATGTATGTGTTCTCTCTCTCTCTTTATATATATATATAATGTATACATACATATATGCTTTAAAAAATTCAACTCTATGAGCTATTCACATTTTATAGATAAGAAAGTAGAGACATGGAGTGGGAGGTAGGTGACTTGATCAATGTCATAAAGCCAGTAAGGCTTTGAGCCAGGATTCAAGCTCGGGCATCTGGAACCAGCATTCCTAACTACTAAGTCATCTTGCCTATTCATCTGAAAATCAACTAAAATAATGGATTTGGAAAAAAAAAAAAAAAAGCAGCTCTAAACAAATGAAATGAAAGATTGCAACTAAAACTTTCTCAGCCATATCCTTTTATGACTCTCGTGTGTTGAGAGGATTTTTAGCAAAAACAAAGATGGGCTGCATGTTCAGCCCAATCACTGAAAGCCCCTTACAAATGAGTTGAACTTTGTCTAAAAGGATATTAGATTCTGTTACCTAATTACTGCTTGTCTTTTAGAGTCATCATGAGGAAGACCATTGTCAAGAACTTGGGAGGTTTCAGATGCAGTGGATTATAAGACACACTGGAACAGCTGATACACTGAGGTGCCATTAAGAATTATATCACTACAGAAGTATAACCTTGCTGTAGACATGATTGCTTTGGGCGTAGGCTCCCATGTCAGTGCCAAAAATGCTAAGACTTGGAGAAAGGAGAGGAGAAAGTTGAGCTACTTCCTCTGTATGCTTTGCTGCTTGGAAAAGAGACAGAAAAATAGCAGGAAATGCTCACTTCTTCTCTTGGGATCTTTCAGGGACCTCCCACCTGAATAGGACAATTGAACTTTGCTTTGGTGAGGGATGACTTGCCGGAAGATGAAAAGCTTTGCGGTGGAACACTAGTGGTGCTCTTCACAGCTCCCAAGGCATTGCTGGTGCAGCATGGGGGAGATGGTGTGGTACAGGTGAGGAGGTGGGTGTGACTCCATCTCATGGCTGACAGCTTTCCTGTTCCCTGCTAGGGCAGCTCTGGCATGAGCAGTTGGGAATCAGACTCTGGGCAAAGCAAGAACAAAGAGCCTTTCCGAGTTTCCTCGACTGACTTCAATGGGGCTGTTTCTAGAGGGGCATGAAGGTGGCTGTGACTTTGTAAGCAGAATGGAAGTGATGTGATCTACACCAGGCCTGGGAAAATCGGCTTAGGTGTGGCAAAGGTACAGAGTGTGAAACAGGTGGGAAAAATAAATTCAAGATCCTGAACTTTTCCATGGCCCCCAAAGTGGAAGCCGTGGGTACAGTGAATGGAGGGGCTGCCTTCAGCTCACTTGGCGCTGTGGTGAACGGTCTTAGGGCTTGGCACATTGCCACCCTTCCAAGGCAGATGGGAAATAAACACCATTACTACGTTGATAAGTGTTTGTTTTCCTTCAGCATTAGGGCTAAGAAAAATAAAGTGGGGAGGGTATCACACCCTGGAGTAAGCCTTTAAAAGGTTTCCCCTTTTGAATCTTTTATGGTTGTCTATTTATAACAGTTACAATCACAACAGAGAGGAAAAGACTTCAATCACCCCTGGGACACATTTTGTCAAAATTACATTTAAGCACTTTTTATTTATGAGCGAAAAGCATTATCTTTTATTATGCCTTTAAAGCAGTGCAGGGAAGTTGTGTGTATAAACCAAGGTGTTGCTGTGGCCTGTTGTCTTTTGTGAACTTCTGGAAAGGATCACCAAGAAGGATGCTCTGATAACTGTCTGCCAGGCAGTTTGCATAAGAGGAAAGAGGCCTTTCTGAAGATCATTAAAAATGATTCATTACTATTGGGCATACACATACATGTTGTTTTATTACTTAAAAGCATAAATCATACATTGACAAGTAATTGTGCTTATCAGACTATTTTAGGCCCTGAGAGGAGTAGAGAGGTACAAAATGTCATCATTATTCCCAAGGAAAGTCCATTTTAATTAGGGAGACAAGAACAATCACATATGCAGTAGTTAGAAGCTATACAAAAGCCTATGATTAAGTGGTGAGTTGTGAATAACAGGCTACCTATGCTGTGATTCTCTTAGTGATGACACAAGAGACATCTTGGAGGAGGCAAAGCTTGAGACAGATCTTCAAGGATTGGTACTATCTGGACAGGTTGAAGAGGAGTAGCAGGGCTTTCAGATGTGGAGAACGGCATGCACAAAAGCACGGAGGTGAGAATACATATATGTGTCTGAGACTTCAAAAACAGAGCAGCCTGATTGGATTGGAGGCTTTGGGCAAATGATGAGTGAGCAATAAAATGGGAGAGAACAGGGTCAGAAGGGGCAGACAAGAGTTATCTGCCCTCATATCATGCATTCACTTCTCAACTCCATTACAAACCCACACCCAATTTTTCTGTGTTGACCATTTGAGTATTGTAATTTAAAAAGAGTAATCTGTATTCAGAGCCCTGTACTGGGTTACAGAGCCTGTCTTAGTTGAGTTTTCCCCAGAAGCAGACACAGATGGAAAGAGTCCAGAGCAAGTAGTTTGCTAGGGAGATCATTCTAGGAAACTTTAGCAGAGGGGCAGGAAAGTGAGACAGGGAGGTAAAGGAAGGCAGTCAGGGAAGTGCTATTCAGATATCAACGTGGACAAATGGAGCAAAATCCCAGTGGTGAACTCTAGAAATCAGTGTATAAAATGTGCCTCAGAGTGAACTCATCTGGGAGGTGAGGAAGTTGGGGTATTTATCCACCAATTGCCATCACTCATTGGGTGGGGGCTGCTTTTGAGGGCATTCACTTCCTAACACTTTTGTTCCAGAAAAAATGTCCTAAGGGAGAAGTTGCAAGTGTTTTTAGTAAAGAATCCTGGTCTTAATATGTCCACATCTTTAGGATGGAAGTTAGAGTATGTGCTTCAGACCCTCTAATGAAGGACAAGTCATCTGGAGCAATGAAAAATGGTTTTCTTGGCCAAGTTCGCCTCTTCCTATTTCTTACCATTCATTACTATGGTCTGCTCTGAGGCAGAGCAAACTCTGGAAGGATGACTATAGAGTTTGGGTCGCAAATGGAAGCATCAGGGAGAGTTCTGGTTATAATAGAACTCCACCTGAGCTGATTTACTTTTAGTCCAAGGAGTTTCCAACACAGCTGCAAGGGAGATTAACAAATGTGATAATGGCTCGAATTTGAAGAAGCTGGAGCAATGATTCTGTGTTGGGCTCTGGGTTTCCAGTGGAGACTATATGTCAGTGAACTGGGCTCGTGTTTCAGTTTTCATGGGGAAACCAAAATGGTCTTGTTAAAATTCAGCAAACAAAATATCCACCCACCTCCATCCCCACCACACACACCCCTTCCATTGCCCTCCATGACACATGGCACAGGCCAGCTAGGAAATATAAAATTAATCAGTGGTTTAAATAAAGTTTTTTACTTTCTCTCTCCATCCGCAGCAACACTTTATGCCAGTTGGATTATGGTCCAGTGGGAGAAAGATCAATTAAGGCGAAACCACAGTAGAGAAAGCGCTGGAGAATAACATTCATTCTTCCTTAATAAATCTTAGTTTTAAAGATTTGCTTTGGGTTTTGTTCTGTTAATAAAGAAAATAAATTAAGAAGGAAAACCAACTGATATTTTGTTTTTCCATATGCCTTAGTGGAATCCTGAAGTTGTTGAATTGAATTAATGATTGATTCTATGTGAGGAATGGACAAAAGACGTGCAGAGATTCAAGCTCCCTAAGTAATTTGGTATTTATTCATCCATCCGTCCATCCATCCATCCATTTCCATCCATCCATCCATCCATCCATCCATCCATCCATCCATCCATCCATTCATCTATCCACCCACTCACTCACCCACTCATCTGGCCATTCACCCAGCCACCTATCCTCTTACTATTAGGAAATTCTTTTATGTTAAGTGCTATAAGTGCCAATTTCTCTTTTTCAGTAAATGGAGAAGAACAATTTGTATTTTAAGAATTAGTGTGGATTAGATTATTTATATCATCTTTCCTTGATGAGGGTTCGTGTCTAGGTGTTTCAGACTAGCATTTTTCCTTGGGTAATTTCCACTTTCCCTTTGTAATCTGACACTTTTACTACATGTAAGGTCATAAACTGTTGTTTTGTAAAAATATTTTGACATGGATGAACAATTTGGGGGGTAGATATGAAGACATAAAAGATAACTTGAAAAAATCAGACTGATTCTAAGTTTATGTAGAGAGGTACATAATCAAGAATAATTAGTAACATTCTGAAAAAGAAGGGTAGCAAGGAGTAACTATCCTGTCTATTATTAAATCTTATAAAAATTCATTAAGACAGCATGGTACAGGCATAAGAATAAAAAGATGTCATTGGAACAGAATTGAAAGTTTAGAAATAGACCTAAATACATATAATAGTTTAATATAAGGCAAAGTTTACATCTAAAATCAGTAAAGAAAGATTATTCGGGGAATGAGGACAACTAAGTAGTACATCACACCCTACAGTATAAGTTCCAAATGAAGAAAATATTTAATGTAAAAAAGGAAATACTGAAAATACAAAAACATGCAAAAATTATTTTATAATTGTAGAGGAGGGAAAGGCCATAAGTCATAAAATGAAAGATTGATTAAAAATAAAGTATTTGCACCTGGTGAAAACACCAACATCAAAGTTCAAAGATAAATGACAAGCCAGAAAAAATATTTGCAATTCTGTCAAAGTGCGAATTTCTCTACTCTTTAAGGAGGCACACAAACTGATAAGAAAAAGACTAGTATCAAACAAATAGCAGAAAAAGAATAGAATAGTCATGTTTATACAAAAGGAAGTTCACAAAGAAAGATCATTTACACTGCTTTACAAAGAGAAATGCAAAGTAAAGCATAACTGAGATACAATTTCACCTGTCAAATTGGCAAAGATTCAAAAGTTTGATAATGCCTGGTGTTGGCCACAGTATTGGCACAAACAGGCTTTCAAATACAAATGGTGGGGAGGTAAATGGCAGAAGTTAGCAAACGATGACTTGTGAGCTCAATCCAGCCTGCTGCTTGCTTTTGTACTGCCCAAGACCTAAGAACCATTTTTAAGTAGTTGAAAAAAAATCAAGATAATATTGTATTGTATTGTATATTGAACATTTGGTAAGAGTAGATTTTAGATGCTCTGATTACACACACACACACACACACACACACACACACACAAGGTAGGTATGGAAGGTGATGCATAGGTTAATTTGTTTGAACATGTTAATCATTTCACTATACATATGTGTATCAAAACAATCATGTTGTATACTGTAAGTATATATCAATAAAATAAAACATTTTGTGACACATTAAAATTATGTAAAATTCAAATTTCATGACTTAAGTTTTATTGGAACAAAATCATGTTCATTCCTTTATTTGTGTCTATGGCTGCTTTTGTGCTCCAATGGCAGGTTTGAGTAGTTGTGATAGAGACTCTATATCCTGCAAAGTTGAAAATATTTACTTTCATGCCCTCTATAGAAAAAATGTCCTTACCTGTTGCCATACAAGTTGGCAATATCTATCAAAATTACAGATCCTTTTTAACCTGCTGAATCCATGTTTTCTTTTTCTACAGATACACTTACATAAACATGATTTGACATATATTCAAGATATTCATTGTTCTATTGATTGGCAAAAGAATGATGCAGTAAATGTCTCTCAATAAAGGACTGGCTATATAATTGTAGGATATCTTCACAGTGAAATACCACGTAATTATAAAAAAGAATAGAAAATGATTCATTTATTACATTGAAATGAAATAATATTTGAAATATATTAAGTAGAAAAAGCAAGATAGAGTAGTAGGTAAGATGGAAACTACCATTTGTTTAAAAATATAGGAAAAGATATGTATACATATATTTATACAATTGCCCACACATTTTCTCTCTCACACACATGCATATAAATTATCTCCAAAGATTACGTAAGAAACATTGGTTGTCAGGGTTTTCAGAGGGTAGGGTAACTAGATTCTTAGGGCCCAAGGGCAGGATATTGACTTTCATAAGGTTTTATACTTATTGTTAACACTTTTAGAATTTTTAACCAAGTGATTTTTATCTGTGAAAAAAGATTTTGAAAATTTACCTCCCTTACCCTTTCTAGTCATCGTTCATCTCAGGACCTGGTAATATTTTCTCCATACCATGTATCTCCATCTGAAATTCTTATTCTTCTGTTTATTTCTCTAACATCCTTTCTAGACTATAGACTCCTTCAGAGCAGTGACTAGGTCTGTCTTGCTGGTACCTGAAGACTTGTTGGATAAAGGAACTGGCTCCATGGGATGAGTGGTGAGGCTGTGTGGGATAGGGGTGTGTGGTATGGGCAAGGGATCTCTGTAGCAAAGATGGACTCCTGCAGAGTGCATGCAAGGTTTTCAGACAATAAGGGTCATAATTTCAAATCCTTCATATCTCCAATAAATCCGACCTTCCATCACCACCATTATTCCAGCTGAAGACCGAAAGGTGCACCAGGAGACATATCAGCAATCTGCAAACATAATATACCAAAGAGCTTGCCACTTCCTGTGGGCACTCCTGGTGTTACATGTTCAAATGTGCAGCGTAGTTTGTAATACAGAAAAATTGGAAATAATCCAAGGGTCCATGGATAGGTTCATGTTTGGGGAAATGTTGAAATGCCATGTAGACACGAGGAAGAAGAGAGAGCATTATAACTTGACTTAAAAAGATGGCCATGAGATACACAGTAACGAAAAGAATTTGCACAATATTATGTGTGGTATGCTCATTTTTAAAAAAGTCTTGCACAAAAAATTTAAAAAGAGTGGCACATTGGTGCTGCGCTGTTAGTGGTAACAGCATAATGGGGACCTGTGTGGAAAGGGAATGTCATCTCTTATGTTGTATATTTCTATGGGGTTGAATGTTATTAATGTTCATAAATTTCTTATGCAATTAGAAAGGGTAAGTGAATCCGCATTGGTATATCACCCCATGTGTAAATGTCTGAGTTCCTGACATGTGAATTTCATAATAAGGACACACATTAACTTACCTACAGAGCCCACAGAACGGTAAACAATGGGAAACTGAGCTCTAGAATCTTGAAAGCAAAGGTGACAGTCAGGACTCATGAAATCTGACTCTTGGAAACTAGCAGGATGTATTTATTTGACACTGGTTCCTCCAAAGTGAAACTATACAGGCCAAGAGATGGAGGGAGGGCTAGAATGGTTGTCAGACTATGGGGGCCCTAATGCTCAATTTTAATGATGCTAATTTTAATAAGGTTGAAATAATAATCCAAAGACTGATAAGGCTCTAGGATGGGACTGAGGAGCGATGTCCATATACCGCCCCCTATAAACACCTGCTTTCTTTGTTATGATGTCCTGTTCTTATTTTCTTAATTTTTCCTGATGCAGCTGAGATAACAAGACAGGGTGGTCCAGGGCTGGGCGCACAGACACCTGGATTGCAGTTTGTCCTCTCCCTTGGACTTGCCCTGGGGCGTCGGGTTGTCCACAACCTTTCTCACTTCCTCAGTTTCCCATCCCCAGCAAGGGACTGCTCCTGCTTGAGCAGAATCTCAGGATCTCATAAGAGGGTGTGTATGTCTTGGGACTTGGATTTTTCCTAGACAAATGGTTTCTATAAAACTGTGTGTGTGTGTACCTAATCTCACACTCTTTTTTCTGGCATCCTATCCAGAACTTTCTATTGTGTTCCCTCTGTGTCCTCACTCTGATGTCAGCATGCACCAGTAGGTCTGGGAGGAGGATTTAGATATGCTTCAAGTCCATCTGTTTGTAAATGAAGCTCTGAGAGGTGGAAAGACTTGGTCTAGACAATTCTTCTCAGACTTCGGTGTGCCCAGGAACCACAGGGAGAGCTTGTTAAGTTGGAGACCCTGATTTAGTAGGTGAGGGGCAGGGGTGAGAATCTGCATTTCTAACAAGCTCCCTGGAGATGCTGATGCTGCTGGTCCATAGACTGCACTTAAAAGACCAGGAGTGTAGGATAAGTGCGTCTCAGAGGCAGAGGCTGAACTGGGCCCAGTTCCCCTGACTCACATCCTGTGCTCTTTCCTACTGAAGGCATAATTACAAATTTAATTGCTGTAAGACTGAAAACTGTCACTTACACATGAAGCTTTGTGTCAGAATCACTTTGGGGATTTTTTTTTTTTTTTTTTTTAGGAGACAGGGTGTCACTTTGTCGCCTAGGGTGCAGTGGTATGATTACAACTCACTGTAGCCTCGAACTCCTGAACTCAAGCAATCCTCCCACCTCAGCCTCCCTAGCAGCTAGGGGCTATAAGCATGTACCACCATGCTCAGCTAATTTATTTTACTTTATTTTATTTTATTTTATTTTATTTCATTTCATTTCATTTCATTTTTGTAGAGACTGGGTCTTGCTATGTTGCCTAGGCTGGTCTTGAATTCCTGGCTTCAAGCAATCCTCCTGCCTTGGTCTCCCAAAGTGCTGGCATTACAGGAGTGAGCCACTGCCCCTGCAACTAACTGTAAGCTTCTGAACCTCTTTCCTAGAGCTCCCACTTAGTTAATGTAGATGGAGGCCTGGGAATTAGTATTTTGATGACACCCTGATAATTTCAATGTATTCAGTCCATGACCTATTTTAG